AAATGTACTGTCAAAATTTCCTGTTCTTGATCCATTTCCTGTTTAAAGAGTGAATTATTTATTTCATTACCACTAGGTATCACTTACAATAACAAGACCGTAAAGCCCAACAACAATAATCAATTATGCCCAACAAAAACTCTGACCATTTACACGTTGGGTCTCCACTGTTAACCCATCATATATTCTCTTCCCCGGAAGGTCAATCCCTTCACGAGTTACCTTAACGATCAGAATTGTTTTAACTTTTCTTTTCCTGGGATTGTGTTTGGAGAATCCAGGGGTTATCTTAATGAACTTTTTTTTCCTCTAAGTAGTCGGGATGTTTGGGGAATTTGGTCGGCTTGGGGACTCCGAGGAAGAGAATTCGCAAAATTGTAAGGTAATAGAACTAAATTTAACAATTGAAGGTAACAAAGATAGGGAAGAGAAAAGCTCAGTAAGGCGGGGGACTTCAAAACAGTCACCTTCAGACTGCAAGAAGTCTTCAAGTACTGTAAACACTTCATCACTTTCCGATAATTAATTCGGTAATTTAAAATTTCTTTTATTGAGGGTGGAATAGAGTTCCAAATTTTAACACCAAGAGCACTCGATGGGTTGGAGATATTACTGAGTAAAATTTCTAAGGGACCATGCGTTACTTTCATGAATAACTCATATGCTAGGGACATATATTAAAGTATAATTACACTTACCTCTGTCGTCTTTCGACGGGCTTCACGAGGAAACGGAAGAGCCCGCGGCTATGTTCTGTCAGCGGATATAGTATACCAGCAAAGCATCTTGGGTATAATGATCGATTTGATTTAATATAAACGATTTAGAAGAGAGCTGATCGATTTGATTTAATGTAAACGATTTAGTTTGTTCGATATAGAAGGGAACTGATCGATTTGAAAGGTACCTAATCAATTTAAAAAGTATCTGATCAAATTAACCCGTCCGCTACGAGAAGATGGCACTCGATTTAGAAAAGGTTTGTTGATTGATTTGGCGCTATGGAGCTCATTTTGGAATGTTGATTCTCGATTTGACATGTTGAATTTTGACAGTATAAACGCGCCATAGT